ATAACTTTAATTATGTAAAGAGATTTTTCATCTTAACTATTTCATATTAATAAAATAATTTGGATACAAGATTAAGTGTTTGTTAGCAGAAATCAGCAAACTGTTTAAAACGAGAACCCATAGAGATCCGCGAAAGTGAAAGCGCACACTTCGAACTTTAAATACTTCGCCATCACTTATACGAGCCAAACTAAAAGCTCTAAGAGCAAACACTTGTCGGACTCCGCAATATCTTGTTCTCTAGTTTCGATTTCTTGTTACAAAATGCCTGAAGGGTATAAAGCAGATTTACGAACGAACTGAAGTGAAAAAAGGGAGAGGGAGAGAGAGAGAGAGAGAGAGAGAGAACTGTGATCCGGTGAGGAACGAGCGAAGAGTGAAAGTGGTTGACTAACTTCACGCACGCAGACACGCGAAGCCGGATACGGCGCGCGTAACGAAAATTTCTGACGCACACGTGGTCTCTAACGCAACGTTAACTATTTCCTTCATGGTTAATTAAAATCTTACCAGTTTTCGTATACTCCAACATGATGTATATTACATTTTATCTGAAACGATTTTAGTCGGTATCGAGAATTCCGATCTCGTATTGCAAATTTTATTGCAACATTGAACTTTTCATCCTTTCTCTCCTTTCCCCAGTTACTTAACTCGCTAGTTCATTAAACGCTGTGTTATTATACTAAAACATTTTTTATAACGTGAATCTTCGCGTTTTTTTTTAGAACTCGTTTCTGTTTTAGGTGTACCTAGTAGAGGCGGACGATGATCAGGCGGTGGACGGTGAGAGGTCAGACAGGGATAAGAGGAAGATCGGTGTGGTGAAGCTGGGCATATCCAACGGGATTATAAACTTCGTCTTCGGTGTAAGATTATTTATTAAACATTTTCCCTGAATATGAACACTTTTAAGTTAGCATCTCGTTACAGAAGCTGGATTCTTTCATCGACTCGAAGACTAAAGCTCTATCTGATTTGGACGAGGCGAACAAAATAAAAAACGCTGCGTTCGGTATCGATGCGAAGCAATCTGCCACCAGCAAGTTCATCAGCGAGTTGATCGCTCAGAAGATTCAAGCGGCGAGTGGGAGCGTAGGACCGGTATTACACAGCGCTCAAACTTTCTTCTCGAATGCCAAGCAAGGATTGATCGGAGCTGCGGCGTCGAAATTGGCGCCGCTTAGCTCCATTGTCTCCGGACTGTCTGCTGGTAGCGCGTCGAAAACCGACTCCCATGATTCAAGCTCAGGTAATATAATAAGTGAAAAATGTTGAGAAGTTTTTTCTTTAAAAACTGGTAATTCATATCTAATGATTTATGAAACGTAGGAGGCGCCTTCGGAGGATCCACTGGTCAAATTTTAGCAAATGTACTGAGCTCGAAACTCGGCAGCCTGTCGTCTTTGAGCCAAAGCAGTAACGGTGGTTCCAGCCATAACTCCGGTCCATCGAGCGAGTCCGGCGTTGGCGTGAACCTCGGAGCGTACGCAAACGTTGGAGGGGTAGGATCATGATAAACATCATTTTATTCTTTCTCTCCTCACGATCTATCTTTCTATTATTTCAATGTTTCTGGCTGTACCCGACGAATGTTCCACGCTGGGAAAGGCGATCGATGCTCGTCGTTCGGCTAACCAGCAACTTTGCTCCTTTTTCTACTTCATCTGTATTTTATTATCGAAAGTTGCTCCGGACGCGGTCGGCATTAATGGGTAGCACTCTCATTAAACGATCTCATTTTCCCCTTGAATCCTGCACGCGTAGGTTTTATCTATGCAAACTAAGCGCATGATCTCATTCACGGTACACTCGATTCGCACGTACTACCATATACTATGCCATGAACATAATTATGCTACTTTTACATTTCACATAACTACTGATCGTTGCTACGACAAAATGTAGGTCTCGGATAACAGCTTACTCGAAACCTTAACCGTCCTTCGTTAACCAAATGATTCTTCTAAAAAATTAACAGAAGTAGTTCGATTATTAATCCTATTAATATACTACAATGAAGGATGGGCTTTTGGAGCACTAGAATAGTCGTTAACTCATTAGCTGAACTTGCCTATTGAAATGACTATTGTACAAACAGTACGAATATGATCCACCGCAAACGGCGTATTATACGGCTTAAAAAAATCGAGGTGCAAGCGAGGACGTTGGACCCTGGACTTTGGACACGTCCAAAGGGACCATCGAGCAGCAACGCTTATCAGAGGATTCTTGACGCTAAATCATCCATCTTAAAATCGCAAAACGAAAAAAATCATCAGAAGAACGGCTATGCGAACGTTCAGCAAAAATCGTTCCGCTCGGGAAGCAAAAATTAAACGGCAATGGATTTTTATTTTTAGAGCGGCCGATAAGAACGCCAGGATCTTCTCCCCCGCCCCCACTTGCGTGATAAGCTCCCCCACACGACGACACAGTAATCTAATTACAGCGAACGCGAACTCCTCCCCTGCATCGTCAATTACGAGAAGTAAACGACGAATAGACGACGTAAACTGTGCGATGCTGTACATAATCCCTTAGGGCTAGTTTCCTGCGCGGCTCTAATTAAGAGCATCGCGCGTACCTCAACGCTGTGCGAGCTAATTGTAAATAGAATTATTTTTTAACCGCTCCGAGTATATACATCCATGTTGATGAAGATGATGGTGATAATGGTGATGACGATGTCAAATAAAATTGAGATCACGTTTTTTGTGTACGAATGGAGTAATTTCGCAAACGATCTCCTGTGCCCTTTCCTGTCCCTCCTCGCAAGACGAACAGGATTGATCAACAGAGACAGCCAGTAACGTTAAATTAACAAAAAAACGATTTTTAAAATAGTGTCAGATTTGTCAAACCGGATAGCACGAAATAAAATTGCTGAAAATCATTCCCCGACATGTCGACGCATACCTGCCGCGACTCTTTCACCATACGGTCAATTATCCATAGATAATATAGACAATTTACGCACACAGCTACGCAGTACGATTGCGTCAAAGCGCGGATCTCGTACACAAGAGCGCAAGCACGGTGGCGACACAGATATTCCGCTGAAACGAGTATTTCTCGATTTTTCTCTCCTCGTTCACGATAATATCGGCGACAGGCCTTACGCGTTGCGAAACGTCGCGCTGTTCGCCAGTTTGTCCTTATTCTTGTCTGTTTTTTAAGGGTTATCCGACCACCACGGAGAACATCCCCGAATTCGACAGGACGAAGGTATCTTTGGATATTCCGGCCCAGGCATTCGGTACCGGTTTCACCGTAGTTACCAATATCAGTAAAATCCTCAGCAGTCTGATACTCGTAAGTAAATCGTGACCTAATTTGATTATCGAACATGCACAACAGAGACTTCGATCTGACTGCAGAAATCAACACGTGGTATCGGAGATCTATTCATAATTTATTTTATAATAATTATCGCATCGAATAGATTAATTAACGTAAACGTGTCACCCTTCACTTGACATTGCACAACTATCTTTTTTGTATACGCCTTATCGTGAGACACGAATAGATAAGAAGTAATATATGCATAAATTTAAGCATCCCACGTTCAGAGCGTTAGTCAGGATTTCATATTAGATTATTCATTTTCTATGACGACAAGTGATTTTTTCACGTTTTCCAGAACTCAGCCCGCAGAACACAGACAGTCCTAGAGGTGTTCAAGCCGTTCTTCCGTGGATCCTTCGCAATCAAGGGTCTACCGTCGGATAATCCTCATTAAAATGAACTCGTTGAAGACATGCCGTGTAAATTATTCCTTAAGGGTGCTCGACGAGGACCCCGGTTAATCAGCCGTTATCGTTACCCGCTAACGAAATCACAAACGATTCCAGAGGTCCTTATTTAAATATAGTCTGAAGACAGAAACTGAGATCTGGTTAATTTCAAAGTAAATGTAATTGGAAGCTCAGGTGTAGCTAGTGGTTTTTGTTAGATATTTTATTAGAACGAATTGTAAAATGTAATAGTCTTATCCGACAATGGATGACAAAAATAATCCTCCAGTTCCCATAAGAACTCACAAGTGCATTTTTATTGTAAACTTTTAGAGCCATTTAGTTTTATCACCAAAGATAAAATAACATTTTGTGTACCATAGAATAATTTGACCGGAGATCTGGGAATTGGATGATTACTACGATAATGAATTGTAATAAGTGCCTGATAAGGTTTCCTATGATCATTAAATCTTGTAATGTTTCCTAGCTAAAGCATTGCCATTGATCAACGCACCCAAGACAGTTTATTAGTCGCGTGATACGGTGTAGTATTTTAAGTAACTGTGCAGTGCAACAAACGCGTTAGAAAATGCATCGCAAGCACGTGCCACGACGTAGAACTCGTTAATCGCTTCTCCTGTCGTCGAATGAATATATGAAGTGATTTTAATCGCGTTTCACTTCCTCGTGGAAGCATTCGTTCGAATTTAACTTTCATTAAGAGTTCGCTTCGTGAGCGAAATAATTTCTAGACAAGCGAGAAATACAAACTATCATACATTTGTAGCTTGCTAGATTCTTAACAACATTAGATAGTGGAGTGCCGTTGACACGCAACATTAAACACATTTTCGTCGTGTAATCAATCGTGAAATTGTTATACGGTTGAATGAATAAAACGTTACCAATATTTTCTACAAAACTGAGTCTGTTTACTATCCTAATAATTATTTAATCCCAATTTTTATTTTGTAATTTTATTTATTAATAATAATTACATTACATTAAAATATTACAATTTATTTAATAATAATTATTTAATCCCAATTTTAAAAAGCAGTTTTGTATTTTATTATGAATTATGCCGACGCAAAATATCTATTTGTGCCATTAATAGAGAAAATAACCATTTTCAACGAACATTATTCTATTTCTGACATTATTTGTCCTGAACATAACTCGGTTGGAATAATAATGCATCGTGCATGATAGTCGTACCTTGCAATTAAAAGAAATACAGTTCGGAATTAAAAACACTTGTTAATTATTTTTGAATTTTTCCGTGTCGGGTGAAAGCATTATTTCAACAAATAGAAAATGACGAAAATGAAATGATATTTAATTGGCTACGAAAAGCTAGCTGAGTTTCAGTCATGTCAATCAGCTGTCAAAATGTTACGCAATGGAACTATGCAAAGTATTCGCGTGCGAGTGTTACGTTAGACAGTCTGCGAATGACACGCCTTGACAAAATTTAATCGAAATTAGAATTTCTTTCTTGTTCGAGAGATACAAATATTTAAATAATGCAATAAATGCAAACGACCAACTTGTCCTTCTGATGCGGAGTGTAGGTTCAAAAATTTAATGAACTTTGTATCATAAAGAAACGTCCCATTGTGCAACTTGAGGTCAGCTGCAAATGGAAAGATGCAGAAGCTACCTAGTTTCACGAGACTTCAATGAGCGACGAACATTACGTATGATTAATTATCGGTACGTGTGTTCCACTTTTCTCACGTCTTCTATGTGGTCACAGTTCAGGTGTAAAGTACTGGGGATTATTACCATTTATTCTAGTTTATGTGGGAACACATGAAGGAGAACAGTATATTATGT